TATTTTTATCTACCAGATGACGCAACACGCTTCTCGCTCGTTACGTACGCGGGTTCTACGGCGTACTAAAAGCCGATTACTGGAAAAGGACACCACGTAACGCAAGGCGCTTGCGTGATGCGTACGTAGCAGCATTCCACAGTACTAAAACCCTCTATCAAGAAGGCGCACAGACACGGTTGCTCCATCGGAGCGTGCGACGGCCTCCGCCCTGATCTCGCGGTCGAGAAAGAAAGGAAAATTCACTTAATTTAAAAGGGAAAACGAGGAAAAAACGGCACCCACTGTCGCGCCCGTTCGGGATACCTAGAAGCGAGAAGCACAAAAGCATTTTAATTTCGCTACATTTCATCGTCACTGGAGTTACCATACGTCGTCAGTGAAGTACGTAAACCGGGCGCAAGAGACTACAATATACTGCGTGCGTTTGTATGCATTGCCTGTTATTTTTTGTATTTCCTGTTGTAATTTATTTTCATATTTTTCATTACTCATATCTTGCATATGTCCTTGCATATAACTCCGATGACTTTAGTTCAATAAACACAAAGTGCTTGGAATATTGCACTGCATTGTTTTTTTTTTACTGTTCTAGTTGTATCTCTCTACGGTGTAATTTTAACGTCGAACAAGTTTAGCTATATGTCATCTTGTAGAAAGAAAATAAAATGAATGCACAGGCACCCGCAGTGAGTAAACTACGGCTTGAATGTGCAACTGCTGAACAACTGTTTGTGTGCAATTTACTCTGTACTTTTTTTGTTTATTTCTGTTATTTCAAAGGGGTCTGACCCCCCCCCCCCCCTTCCCAGATTGGGACACTGCTGCTTGCTCACAAAACACCACCGGACGAGTGCAAAGCAAGTAGCCTACGCCGCGAACGATAACGTTATAACTTAAGCTAAACAGCCGCCTATCTGATAGGTTCTTTGTTTATTTCCCTTAACATAGGATACCGACCAATGGTTTCAACAGAAGATACGACAAGTTATCCGAAAGCCCTTTATCACGCTTTGTTGTCCAGAAATACCATACAAGAGAGGCTACTGACAGCGAAATCGCTACATCAGCTTTTTAGTGTTACCGGGGCCACTGACGGGACAGAACACTTAAAGGGCCTCCACTCATCAGGCTCTCAAAATAATTATAACAATAAAAAAAAGAGCGCGTCGTTCTCTCCTGGCGTTTATTAACGCTTACTTGTCCGCTTCGTGACGCAGTCAGTAATTCCCGCGACGTCCATTGCGCAATCGTTCTTGACTGGTCAGATGTGATTTGTCTCCTGCCCTGCTTCGCCATGCGACCGTTCGCCCGTTATTCCTTATCTCACACGAACATCGTGCGTGATTCATTTTGTGCGATTGCGCAAGCGGCGTTCACAGCGCTTAACAAAACCAGGAGGATCGGACACACTCCAATGAAGGCGAAACCTTCGAGCCACTGCGCGGAGTAAACGCGAAAGGATGAACCGGCCATAAAGAACACACTTGACGTTTCCGGCACCTAGTAAAAGCCCACAGCGAATTTTTAAGTATACGCGACGTAAGCGTCTCCCCAGTAGAGAACACCGGGTGGTCAAATTTTTCGCAGCCCACCACTATGGCGACTCTGATAATTTCGTCGCGGCTTTAGGGTGTAAAACCCCGGATGTTACTTGGTTAATATCGAACGGGTAGCGTACTAAGCAAGCATGAAGGAAGACCAAAAAGAGACGGGAAGGCGAGCACACTTCCAATTAACATTTCGTTTCAACAGAACAGGCCAACATAATAGGGAGTTTCCGAACAGGGGCCCCAAAGATAAATAGCGTCGAGGCCACTGCGCATGCGCGATACCAAAACCGCGTTCGGGTTGGCGACGCTATTTGTCGAATTTAGCGGGAGCCCCAGAGCCTGCCCCAAAAGCTTTGCGCCGGACAAACGTGACGGCACCCATTGAAGCGACGGCTGTCGTCCAGTTCTAGAGTGACCAAGAATTGGGTGAGTGTTCAAAGTGTTGCAGACCCCATTCGAAAACTCTTCGCCACTGCTTGACCCAAAGCAGACGCCCTAGCCTATGTGAATGCTGTTGCGCAAGTTACACGAAGAAAAACGGCCCCACGTATGTAAAACTGTGTAGACACCAAGCATCAGATATGCGCCAATACCGCACGTAAGCGTTAAACAAAACATCCCTTTCGCACCATCACAAGGCAAGCCGCTTCTACCGACTTTATTGCTTCCTTGGTGTTTGCGCAGTACGTTACCCGTTCGAGCAGCACACGTCGCAGGCATGGGCGAAGTCAGCATTTATCATTTGTTTTTTTTCGGGTTGGAGTTCGGCATGTCTATGTATGTTAATATTATTTGTGGTTTTACGTCCCAGAACCACGACGTGATTACTAGATACGACGTAGTGAAGGGCACGGATCTGTCCTTGGTACCCTCCAATTTCTAATATATATTAGCGACTTGCCCGATCATATAACCTGCAGCATTAGCACGTTCGCCGCTGACTGTGTCATTTAACACACTATCATTAACCCGCCTGATCACCTAGATGTCCAAAAACAGCATGCTTAATTAGTGTAACACATGGTTAATGACCCTTAATCCTTCTAAATGTAAATGTTTTTTTGTTTTCCATCCCCACATCCCATATCATTTTCTGTATTTCATCATTAACAGCCCAATCGAATCGGTACCATTTTATATCTTGGAATCATCATGGCGCACCAACATCGCTAATATAGTAGTATCACCGTTTATTAAAGCACTCGGTTTTCTCAATCACCATATTCGCCTTGCCCCCCCCCCCCCCGGATACTTGCGTACCAATCACTCATCAGACCAAAATTAGGATATGCATCTACCATATGAAGCCCACATCAAGCGTACCTATTCAATACATTAGAAAAGCTGTACAAAATCGTGCCACCAGATTCATTCACTCATCTTACTCATACGATATCAGTATTTCATCTCTGAAAGCAAAGTCTGAACTACCACCCCTTTCTTTGCGTCACCGCACTGCAACTGTCATGCTTTATCACAAATTATTTCATTCCTCGCTCAATCATCCACTTTACATGACAGCTGCAACGCGCACATCTACTACCTGATCGAACCAGTCACCCATTTCAGGTTGCCCGCCCATCATCACGCACCACTACTTTTTCTGCGTCCTTCTTCTTTTGAGCAGCCACAGACTGGAACGGCCTTTCCGGGACATCGTCACACCATCGGCTCATCATGTGTCTTTCAAGGTCGTGTTATTGGTTATCTTCATAACTAAAACAACGTTCACTACGTTTGTTAACCTGATTGATATGTGGGGTTTAACGTCCCAAAATCACCATTTGATTATGAGAGACGCCGTAGTGCAGGGCTCCGGAAATTTAGACCACCTGGGGTTCTTTAACGTGCACCCAAATCTGAGTACACGGGCCTACGACATTTCCGCCTCCATCGGAAATGCAGCCACAGCCAGGATTTGAGCTGCGGGTCAGCAGCCGAGTACCTTAGCCACTAGACCACCGTGGCGGGGTGCGTTTGTTGACCTAAATACAATCCCACGCCTTATGTGACTTCTCTCCAAGAAAAGGGGGTCTCTTTAAGGTAATGAACTGAAACCGGAAATCCGGACCATCTGTCTTCACCGTGCACTGACATCGCACAGTACAAAGGCCCCCGCCACTTTGCTTCCACTAATGAGTGACCGCCGGAATCGAACCCGCGACCTTAGGGTCAGTAGCCAAGCACCGTAACAGCTACACCACCGCAGCGAACCCTCGACGTATGTTCCACTCGCGTGCGCACGGGTATATTACGTACGTACAAAATGTCCTCCAAGAACGACCCCCGGCTACGCCACTGGTCGCAGGCGAGGCGAGATCATCGCAAAGCCGTTCGCACAAGGACGTCGCAAAAAGAAAAAAAAAAAACTGCGTTTTAATTGGCAATTGCACAAACATGAACGCTCAACCTTGAGCGACATTGGTGGTTGCTGCGGATGGGGTCGGCCGTTTCGAGTACCCGATGCCGGTAAGAGTGGACAAACAGACAAATGTACAGACAGACAGACAGACAGAACGACCAAAATTTTTGCGCCGAATGTCCCCGAGAAAGAGTCGTTCACGGGTGGGCGACTCTGCAGGAAACTGTCGCAGGGGATAAAGGAAAGTGTTCCCTCCCTTACAGGCACATAACTCGTCCGAGCACAGCAATGTCACCGCGTTATGCCGCAGCTATAAAACGAGGCCGCAAGGAAAGAACGGAATGGACAAGTCAAAAGGACAGACAGTTTATTTCACCCGCCCTCGCCAGACGATGGTCACCGCTCTCGAAGGCCCGGCGCAGATAAGCTGCAACCAACCAACGCACACCAACACAAGCCGTCGAGCTCAGCATCAGTTAACTTGTGCAGTCGGCCGAAACAGAGAATGATGAAAACAGCTGCCCATGGCAACTCAAGCCGAAAGACTCAAGGCAGATTGCGGTGTCGGCCGGCGGCGGCATAACACGAGTTTTCAGAAATAGTACGCAGCTAGACCATCGAACATTAATCATGAATATATCACGCGAAACCGAGCAAATTTTTTTCAACCTAAGCAGCCAGATCTCGACTAACGACGACCCAGTTGGGAGCGCTGCGTCCACAATGCAGTGATGAACTTCGGCATAAGTATGAGCAGCGCGGCAGCTGGTAGACAAGCTACTACCAAAGTCCTTCAATGGAAGGACTCTGCTACTACTATGCTTCGGTGGCAATGTGCTTGAACATCGATGTCACTAGGCAAAACAAAAAAACGCCCGATATCACGAGAAACACTGCGGGCGTTTTCAACGAGCACTTGTTTGTTTATAAATTTGCGATTCGCTCTTTATTGCCCCACACCCAACGAAACGGTGCTTAATGCTTACGCTACCGAACAAAACACGCGCGCATGGCCAGTCGATTCAACGCGCGACAACGAAAGGGTTGCCCCAGGCGCTGCCCCCGCAAGAGCGCCGGAACGCGGAGGAGGGGGAAGACGGCCGGCGAGCGAAAGAGAAAGGCATCCTCCTCGCCCCCAGCGCCGCCGCCGTATCGGACGGACATGTTGGTGCGCACGCAGTGCAGCAGCAGCAGCCTGCGGGAGGCTAAGCTTTTTTTCGCAGCTTCGGCGCGAACAGAAACGATGCTCTCGGCGCGCAGTCGCATCGCCAGTAGTTCACGATGATCCGCAGTCGGTCGACGGTGCGAGGAAAGCGTCCCAGGCTAAAGGGAGCGGCAGTCCTCGTTGACCCCGAGACGGTAAGAATTTTCGTCGATCGAGCCACTTCGGCGCAACCTCGCTCTGTTCGTTACGGGCAATCGAGGCCGCTAGCCTTGCACGAAAGGCGGACGTGCCGCGCCGCTCGGCGCCCTGTCATAGGACACGTCTGGGAGTACCGAGACAATGAAATGGCAAACAAACCGCTGATCGGGGTCAGAATAGCGGGCAAGCATTTCACGCCGCTTTTTCGTGTGTGCGATAGCGCGGCCGACATTAGGCCTAATGTATACCGCTGTTAGCACCCGTCCGCCAGTCTTGTAAGCGATGTTTACAAAACACGACACAGTACGCTACTACTACGGTCGCGCCGCATCCAATATAAAAACACCCGACTCGTTAACTGGTGTCATCGCGACAGCTGCGCCTGTAATCGTCTCAATGCCACACATGCCGATACATCGAATACATACTCCGGAAAAAATGATGCGAGGCCACAGATACAGGTCCGTCTCCACAGCAGCTCGATAAAGCGTTTGAAAAACGTCGCGCGGGGCATTGCCAATCGCGCCAAGGTGTGGAGAAAGCACCGATATCGATCACCTGTGCTGACAATATCAGAGCGAGTCTCTTCACATCTCGATTATGGCCAGAGCGCGCGCACGGCTGACAATCGTTTCTTTTTTTTTTCTTTTTTCAGGTGTGAAAAACAATGCAAGTACGGCTGCCAGCGGGAGGCGTCGCATTCTACGTCTGCCTCTCGCTGCTAGCATGCGCCGCGCGCGCCGATGCTGCCTCGGGTGACAGTGCCGTCGGCCAAGATGGCGCCGCGCTCGACTGTCCTGAAATGTGCCAGTGTAGCGGCAGCTCAAGCGACACTTCTGGGGCGCAACGTGTCCTCTGCGTGGGACAGCTGCGCAGTGCCGTGCCGAATGACCTCCCACCTCAAGTCGCCTCGCTCGATCTTTCACGGAACAAGATCAGAAGCATCAACTCGAGTGAGCTGACCAGTTCCGCAAGTTACCTGAGACACCTCAATCTGTGCCAGAATCTTATAAAAGAATTAAGTGTTGATAGCCTTCAAACTCTAGTCTCTCTCCAAGAGCTGGATGTAAGTGAAAATGTAATTTATGCCATCCATGTAAATAGTTTTGATGCACTCGAAGCTCTTACTGTGTTAAACCTTTCTGGAAACCAACTGGACCAACTGAAACACGAATGGTTCCAAGGCCTGTCCAACTTGACTGTGCTTGATTTGTCGCACAACAAGATCCAGGCACTGAACAACGTAGTGTTCTGGTCGCTTCACCATCTGGTGAACTTGCGTCTGGATTACAACAGCATCACTTCTGTGGGGCTCTTGAGCATGAAGGGTCTCGACTCTCTCAGGTACCTCAATGTAAGCCACAATCGCATCACAACTATACAAACAGGTACATTACGACCAGCTCCAAATCTTCAAGTATTGGACATCAGTTACAACCCAATGACAAGCCTTCACGAACCGTTTAAGCATGGTCATCATATTCGGAAACTGCATGCAACTCACCTCTACAAGCTCTCGCACTTGTCACAGGCTGTGTTTACAGATTTGGACAGTGTGGAAGAAGTGCTCATGACCAACTGCTCTGCACTAGAGACTGTACAGAGTGGTGCTCTTTGGCCACTCAAGGCTCTTCGCAAGCTGGACTTGCGTTTCAACAATTTTACGACTCTCCCATCTGGATTGTTTGACCCACTGGTGCAAGTGGAACGAATTCGTCTCAATGGGAATCCGTGGTTTTGCGACTGTCGCCTGTATTGGCTCCTACTGTGGCTACGTGACAATGTGCAGGCTCACATCTTGTCACCATCAAACACCCTCTGTGCCAAGCCATCAAACCTTACTGACGTCACAGTGCTGGATGCTGTGGACAAACACATGCTCTGCCGCAATGCCACTGTGGTAGAGCACACCACAGAAGCGCATTTCAGGTTATTTACATCGGCGGTGCTCTCATGTCGTGTAGATGGAAGCCCTGCCCCATCAATAACCTGGACCACACCGCACAAGTACCGCTTCAACTGGACGGCGGAATATGGTGCATCCGTTGGAAATTCGTCTCTTAATGGACGCGTGAATATGGGTGACTGTCCGAAGTTTGTGCTCCTTCCAAATGGGGACTTGTTCGTGCGTGAGGTCCAACGCGGTGACAGTGGCCATTATCGGTGTACGGCCACCAATGTGCTGGGCCATCAGACCGTGGCCATAAGGCTTACACTTGACTACGACTTCCTGGTGAATGTCAAAATAGTGAGTGTGCTTGTGGGGTGCGCAACAGCATTTGGTTTCCTGCTGATCACGATGATCATCATGCTAATTAGTGCCATATTAAGGAGGTTTGGGTTGGAGTGTCCATGCTGCATGATGGGGGAGTCTCCCCGTGCAAGACAGCTTTATCGCATGCTTGAGAGTCTTGAGCAATACCGATGCCAGCAGTTGGAGCGGCTTCGGGATAACTACGCCTGTCAAGTGCAGAGAATCAAGGACAACTGTACGCAGCAGATGGAGAAGATCAGGGAAAGTTACTCCGGCCAGACAGATCGACTGAGGGACTTCTGTGACTACGGTACTGCACAAATCACAAACATGAGGGATAACTACTACTCGCAGGTGAGAATTAATTTGACGCAAGTGTACTGTCGATGACTAACAGCTAGGAGCACTTAAATAGGCCCAGTAGGTATTGTAGAAAAAGTGCATGCAAACTTCAGAGTTAAAAAATTGTTGCTCTTTCTTATTTCAGGTACAGAGGGTTCGGGACTACGGTGTTGGCCAAATCGACAGGCTTCGAGAAAACTACGTGTTTCAGCGCAACAGGATTCGAAAGTTCAGTGCCCATCACTTGTACAAGTTGCGTGAAAACTACAAACTGCAGCAGCAACACCTCAACAAGATACTGGAGAACCTCAACCTCGAGAGCTGCCGGAGTGTCTGTGCCCGCACTGACTCCATCATCTTTGATCCTGCCGAGATCGGTCTGGATCCTCCACCTTTGGGAATGCTGCCGCCGCCACTTGTCTTTCCTCTGTTTGTGGATGAAGAAGACACCGACAGCCAGATTTCTGCTTACTACACTCCAGACACACTGTCCCATGTGTCACCTGACGAAGTGGTTCTACAACCAAATTTCCCTAACCTAGACTCTTTTCCGGACTTTGCTGCAGAGCTTCCAGTCATTCAGATGCCAGAAGTGAGTGTAATGGCACCAGATCAGCCAGGTCCCAGCTGTTCACCACCAACGAATGTCGTAGCCGTGCACTTGGACTGTGACCCAAACTCGGACATAGCTGCATCGGAGGTACCACTGCTGCAGAACTTGTCACATGAAACTGCAGTGTGATGCAGTGAATGCGAATAGAACAGTACTTAAGTCAAAACATTAAACACATTCAGTTTTTGAGACATTTGCAGCTTGCATCAGGAACTCTGTTAGTTAAGCTCCGAGAGATCTGTTGTTATGGAGCCATGAAGCCGAAACAGTCAAGCTCCGACATGCAAACACTACAATGTCGAACATGCTGGCAGTGTGTGTGCAGCTTGGTGACTAGGCTTAAAAAGGGTCAGAAATGCAGAAATAAATAGATTCAAATGAGATACATTTATGATCGAAACTTTTGCCTTCAAGGCTGTCACATGCTTATGGTTGCCTAGGTTGTGAGGTGCATTGCATATTTTCGTACTGGTGTCTTTGAAAAGCAGTAGCAACAGAAGTGCTTCTACTAGCACACTTTATGGACATATCAACATAAAGAGCACATAAACATAAGAAAAAGATGGACTAATCTATCTTCCGGAAGACACACCTCCCCCCCCCCCCCCCCCCCAATAAACAGCTGCCACATTTCAGGTTTTAGACGAGCCAAGTTTCTGTGATAGACGGTATGCACCTTTGATTTCAAAGGAACACAGTAGTGAGCATCCTCAATATTCCAGACTTCAGCAATGAAACCACCCTTGTCCTCCCTGTATCGTGAAAATTATCGACCACGGCTTATTTTCAAGCACACTTCGACTAGACGTCGCAGAAGACGAATGCTAGTACCCAAAAATGTGGAGACTTCTATGGTGCGAGAAACTTTTACAGTAATTATCACTCACATGTGTGTTATGTTAGCATATTATTGTTTGCAACTTTGAATGGTTGACAATTTTTTGTCTGATCTATTTCTTTCATAAAAATAAAACTATGTACCTGCTTTTTCAAAGACGTTGTGTTTGCATGCAAGGTATTACAACAACTACATAAAGCACAATGACACTGGCTCCTTATGTGCCCAGTGCACTGTTTTACAATGGCTCCGACTTTGGTGGTAATAAAAAGACGGTAGAGTGGTACTCGACTGAACCATCGACGACTCTTAACAGGCTCTCTTTACTATTTAAGTTACAACCACTTTTGAAATGCATTAAGGAAACAAAATCTTTGCGGTGGGTCATTTACCCAGGCATAGGTGCATACCTACGTACACAGCACCGGAGACAAGGACTAGCGCTACTACTTGTCCCTGCGTCTCTCTCTCGCTGTTCATGCAGCTATGGAATACCAATTAGCCTGGTCTCGCGCCTGGCATAATGACATACTGGAGAGTGACATGTGCCTAGTATTATAAGAGTGCCATCTTCAAGCTTAACTCCATGTTCATGAACTTACACCATGGTAAAGTCAAATTCAAGCTGAAATACTACAGCATAATGTCAAAGGAATTACAGAACACATTTTTTTTTCTACAACCTTAATTTAAAATCCAGAACAGCCAGCACCGTGTTCTGAGAAAGACGACATTGGTAGCACGGTGGTGGTCTAGCCAGTTAATGATTTGAATCAGAAAAGAGCCTGTTTTGGAGCAAACAAAATGGAATCCACAATAATTTGAAGCGAGACATGTCAAAATTTTTGGTAAATATTCTAGTGCGTATACTGGAAATGCTGCAGTGTAAACAACAGAGCAGCCATTAATCAGGTTCTTGCAATCTGGCTCACTGCACAAGATGTGTGTGGTCTGCATAAGCAAAGTGTTAGTGAGAGCACAGGCATGGCACGTACAGTCTCTGTGCGCTTTGCCAATGAGAACATGCTGTCCACATCCAGTCTCTCCACAGTGGTGCGGAGACTGGTTGGGCTGAATATTATGACAAAAATCGTGTTGCTGGGATGGAGCAAGTCAAGGGTATTGGCGGTATTATGGAAAAATGAACAGCATTAGGCCATAAGCAGTTTTATGGCGAGTAAACAGGTGGACAAGTAAACTTTGATGCAGATGGCACTACTGGTAGCATTATAACTGGCGTTGCCTTACAGAACAAAAGCTTTTTCATATTGAGAGATGGGGCATGCTCTCGGAACGAACGGAGACAGCAGACGCAGTCAGGCTAAACCAAACATCTTGTACATTTATTTAACTACTTTTACAAATGACAATATCCCCAGAAAAAAAAAAAAAAACTTATACAACTAACAATAGGACACTCAAACAAAATAACAACATATAAGTCGTGTATCAGCAATTATTGGAAATCCAATGCAGTTCCCGGCATGTGTTTGTTGGTCTATGAGACTATTTCCCAAGAAGGTGTAAACACCACTACGGTGAAACAAGACGTCCCATTTAAGAAGCATTTCTTTTTTTGATTGGTCTTTCTGTGCAGCATGCTTTTTGAAAGATTGGAACTCTTCTCTGCACATTGCTGAGAATAGGGATCCCAAACACCTGGCCCACGAGTTTTTCGCTAGTGGCCTCGACTACACATGACTGCCATCATCTCGTGTTGGGTGCAAAACCCGCCACTAGAGGAGCGGGCACTGCAATCGCTGTGACATGCAGGGCTGGATCATGTGATCTCGCCTTGCCCTGGCGAAGGGACGTGGGCATTGAGTGCGTTTTCTTTTTTCAACCACGGTGCTGCAGCGGTTTTCCTTTTCGAATGCACTGTTTTGCTCTCACTTCATGTGTTCGAACTTTTGAAGACTACCCCATCAGGAAAAGTGCTGTAAGAGCTATTGGTCGCAAGTACTCTTCTGCTCCGTGCCACAGGGCGCTACGTAGCACCACATGTGCTATTTCACTTTTACCCCTCCCTACCTTGCTCTGCGAGAGAGGGACGCCCTTCATCACATCTCTTTCACATTGTTGTTGTGGTTATTGTCATTTCAAACAGACGTGGTTAAAACGAATGACGGCGAATGTTTACATAAAAGCGGAACCTTTCACTTTCTGAGCAGGAGCCTCACTCACAACGAAAAATGAACGTACAAACAGTTCAGTTACGTATATCTTGAAATGTATGAGAAGCTGCTGTCATTATGTTTAAGATTCAAGATAAAGCCAGGAAGTCGTTATGTTCTCTTGATTGGTCTTTCTGTGAAGCATGCTTTTTGAAAGATTCGAACTCTTCTCTGCACATCACTGAGAATGGGGATCCGAAACACCTGGCCCACGAGTCTTTCGCGAGTGGCTACCTTTACCCTATTTTAATACGTGGCTAGTTGCTTATGCAAGTTGGGCCAACGCGTTCGATGAAACCTCTTTCTTAAATTGCACAGGTGTCGCTCGAGCCTTTGCTGAACGTTACTTCCTTTTCCAAGGTAACCTTTATCACGGTCTTCATTTCCATTTCATTGTCAAACAACTGTTTGCAGCGTACTTCACTGGCGGGTTTTTCGTGCTCCCGAAGCACCGTGGTTTGGTGCTCTTGCCAATAATGAAAAGGGGCTGTTTGTCGGACCTGCCCATATTTGCACAGTGCAACACAGTGACTCGCTTTCTGCTCTGCTTGCCTCCGTGGCACTGTTTCCCTTCGAAGTCAAGCGTTTTCACCGGTAGCATTACACAGAAGAGGCCGGTCTCATCCGCATTGTACACCTCAATGCAGTGTACAATGCCCGCAGCGACACCCTTGCCCGCAGAGACAATGCCCGCAGCGTTCGACACGATCCACGATGACGCACCGTTGCAGTCTGCAGAAGCGGACTCTCCACACAGCACCTTTCCGACGATCTCATAGCGCTGCTTGAATGATACACTTGCCTTGAAGCTTTCATTGATGCCTAAAATGCAGGTGTAGTTCACTGCTTTCTGCTGAATTAGGCTACCACTGATTGGTATCTTCTTAGCCTTCGTTCTACACAACCAAGCATACACTGCCTTGTCAAGTTCTTCATAGGCTGGCTGGGTCGACTTCTTTCGTTGGGCAGATGTGCCCAATGCTAGCACATTTAAAGATGCTCGCTTCGGCGAGATACTATATTTCTCGTCTATAAATTCCCTTTTTCGTCCTGCTGCTGCCGCGCAATTATTTCTCCCTTCTGCTCTAGCAAAACAAACTTCTGTTTCTTACTCTGTGGTACCACCATAAGCCCTCGATGCCGTAGACCGTGGAAGGGGGCAGAGAACTGCAAGTAGCAGTTAAGAAGGTGCTGGACTACTGAGCTAACAAGATGAGGCAGTAGGTGGGGGAAAAAAAGAAGAAAGCCATCAGCCAATATCCAAAGTGTGGATCTGGCACGGTGCTTCATGGAATGCTGCGGAGCATCGTCATCACCCACAAACGATGGCATCCCCCATGGTGTCACGGTTTTGCAGCATTTGGCGGGTCACGTGGACTTAGGCGAACTTTGGCGCCTTTACGATTTTTTTTTAGCTGTCTGATAACTAAGAAAATTCTTAATGTATACCCTGAATGCGGGCCAGCTAATAAGAATTTTTTGTTAAAGACAGCGTGAGAAAAAAAATAAATGCAAAGACAGCCGCTGTCGTGTGTACTTTTTTTCTTCGTGCCGTTTTTAAGCATTAAAGGTGTTGCCACATTTACTAGTTAAAGGGCCACTCACTATGCCCTTAAGAAATTTCAGTTATACTGTGAAATTTGTGTGTCCGATGAGCAGCATTATGCCGCAAAAATTTTGTAAATCAGTTCATTACGAGCTGAAAAAAACTTTCTTTTTCAAGCGGCACGAAACGAGGATGAGAGGAGGTGAGCTCAAAACCCTTTCCGTTCCCCCAGCCTTTGTAAGCCTAATCTCTTCCCTACCCTTTCCGGCATATCCAACCAAGAGGTCACGTGCGCATGACGTGCCCGAACAAGCCCAACCTTTGAGCATGCGAGTGGTTTTGTTTTGTTGACCAACGTTATTTTATGATCTACTGCGGGATGGTTTGGAAACACTGGCTTAGACGCGGTAGAATAGATGAGCACAGTGAGTGCGCGAACGCGTAGGTGCATTACTTTCACTTCCACGGCTGTCATCTGCACGATGCGCTGACCGCAGGGACACGGACGCATGCGAAACGCCAGCACACTGGGCCGGCATCTCGTTGCAATTCACGGAAAAGAAAAAAGACGTGCACATTCCCTTATTTCGTCCCATTATTTATCTCAAGTTTTATTAATTTCTTCAAGCAACAAATTACACAAACATGTCGTGTTAAATAATTTTCGCCATGTCACGCGCCACTGTTGGCAACGTCAGAGCACAGTCGTCTACGTAGAGGACCGTCACTGCACGGCCGTGTATGCAGGACAATTCATACATGCACATCATGCCCTCATTCTCTAGGCGCCCAGCCGCGAAAGCAAGGGGGAGCAGCATTTATCTTGAAATTTCACCCATTTCTGTGACATGTAGCGTTGAATATTTTGGCAGATGTGATTGTGAACACCAATCTACGCACTGCGCTTGTCAGCTTAAAATTGTCAAACCTGGCGAGTGGCCCTTTAACGCGGTTCGATTTGTGGCTGGTTGAGTAACTCGTGTCCCAGGAAAATTTCGTTGAACCGGGAGAACAAAGTGGTTTGTTGTGGGGGAAGTTTCAATACATTAGAGCCTATGGGATGCGGGCGGGGAATAATAAAATTCTCATTTCATTTTCTTAAGCATGTTCATGAGCAACACAAAGAAGGGGGCATGAGCAACACAAAAAATCATTGAAACCATGACTGGTTTCAAGGATTCTTTTTGTGAAGCAACCCATACAATAACTAAGTTGAAACATAATTGTGGAACAAAAACGTATTTCAGAATCGACATCCAGATTTCAGTCATTCTGCAGATGCGTATCAATGCTTTGTGAATTAAACTCCGAAATCCCCCTCAGAAAAGACCCATATATGAGTTATAGGAAAGGCTTTCAAATGGCTATGTTAGCTTACATGTTGATCTGATCCAAATTCAAAGTGCTAGATGTGTCATAGAGTTAGGTATTTCACGTATTAAAAAATTCCAGATGGCCAAAACTATTGGTTACCTTACGTTGCTGAGTGATTCACATACAAATTATGGTTCTGGCCATAGGCGTGCACATGAGGTGTGGTCGCACCCTCTAGTCACCCAAGAGCTAACTCAGCCCCATACGTTGACATAACAGGGAGGGGGTCCGATACTTTGTATAGGGAAGAACCTTCGCCTTCCTTGAAGGGGAACTCTGCACATGCCTATAGTTTTGGCATGTATTACCGCAGAATTAAACACTTTAGAAAGTTTAAGACAGCAATTAAGTTTTCTCCTGATGGGCAACTAGATTCTGGTTTCCAGTGTATGACTGACCAAAGCCTTTTTGGCACTTGCTGCTTCTGGACCAGCTAAAACTTCACTAAGGAGCAGGAAATCAGCCTTTTGAAGCAGTTAGCACAGTCCTGGGTATCTACCAATTTGCTTTTTCAAAATTCCCCGACTTTTCCTGGCTTTCCATGATGATTTAAAGCAAATTCCATGACCGTTAAGTGTGCTTGGATTCCATAGATTTATCACAAATGCCAGATCGACAAATATGTGGGGTTTAACGTCCCGAAACCACCATATGATTATGAGACGCCATAGTGGAAGGCTCCGGAAATTTCGACCACCTGTGGTTCTTAAACATGCACCCAAATAAGAGCACACGAGCCTACAGCATTTTCGCCTCCACCGAAAATGCAGCCACCGGCGCCTGGATTAGATCCGGCGACCTGCAGGTGAGCAGCCTAGTACCTTAGCCACTAGACCACCGCGGCGGGGCTTATCAAAGATAAGCTGGCGGGTTCCCTTCGTTTGTGTACTCTTATATGTCTTTGGAGCAGGGAGCAAAATATTCTAAACAACTCCTGGAGTTAATGCATCAGTTAAGCCTCTTATAAATATATCAATATTAATATTTGTTATTAAACATATGGCACATACACTAATCACTGGGAATTGCAAGAAACATAATTAGGGAGATGGATGGCCATTGAATGCCAAGTAATATATCATATTTTGTGAAAGTAGCCAGCATTAAAATTTTCAAAAACCTGCTCTTGCAACATTAACGAGATCAAAGCTGATGAACGTGCTAAATGTACAGTGGAACCCCTCTGTTACGTTCCTTACTGCTGGGTTTTCTCGACTGTTACGTTGTTTTTATCGGTCTCGGCATAGCTCTCATAGAATCCCATGTATGGCGAACCCCGCTGTTACGTTGCAACTGTGAGAACGTTCTTGCATGGTGCATCGCAGCCTAGTCTGCCGAACCTGCCAGGGCACCGTCATTTTCATCTGATGTTTGACAGTCTTGGCCTGGCTTGGTTCAGAACAGGCTGCAAAAAGCTGCCAGTGAGTTGTAGAGGCCGCCCCTAGATGGCCATATGTGAAAAGTGCTATCATCATCATCACTGTGCTTACAACGGATGTTTCACTACGGAGTGCCGAAAGTGCGTGATAGTCCTGCCCCTACTGCCGCACGTTGTGACTAGTCTTCAGTCGCTGTTGTGTGTGCTAAGCCTGTTACCGTTGAACCTGTCAACGCAATCTTTGTCAAGCCTTAATGGCGTCGCATAAGCAGAAAGCGCTTTCACCTGAGGAAAAGCTGACGTACTTAAAGCAATCGACAAGCAGCCACCGCGAAAAAGGGTCGACTTTGACAAAGACCTTGGACTGCCACCGTCAATGCTCAACTGCATCGTCTCGAAGCGTGCAGAGATTGAAGGGAATGCCGGTCTTCGGCCCAAAAGCCAAGCAAGCTTGCGGCGCCAAGCAGGGAAGCTCGACGAGGCTCTTCTCATCTGGTTTAAGCAAGCTTGCGCTGCCAATATCACCTTCAATGGCAGCATTTTACACGAGAAGGGGATGGAAATAGCCGACATTCGGGGAATCGCTGAACGGGTGGATCGACCATTTTCGCCAAAGGCACGGCATTGCTTAAAAAACGGTTGAAGTGCCAGACAATCACAGAGATCGTTGCAAACTCAATTGCAACTGAAGACAGGAAGGGGACCCCCCCACCCCCCCCCCCCCCCAGGTTGCAGCCGGAACTGTCAACAGCGCCTTCCCTTAGTCTCCAACGCTCGGCAGCTTCACGCAGCAGGTCGCACCCTGTGCGCTTTGCTCCTGCGGCCATGGTATGACCAAGAAGTCTCGCATGCATTTCACCCACCTCCATCATTGCAAGCGAGCACACTGAAAGCTGCACAGGGAGGGGACGACAAGGGGCCAAGAAGATGCGTCCCTTGGTCGCCGTGTGCCATGACCTTGAGCACTTTTTTTGGGTTTTTTTTTTTCATCCCCTTCAATAGCACAACTTACTTTCAGCATGATCGAGCACACGTGTGGGAATCCTGCGATTACCACGCCAACCATGCTGCTCATGATGCTGAGATCAGCCAGTTGCCGTGGTTTATGGTGCGGTCATTCAGGTTATGACATCATTTTTCGAGAGAAGAGGGAACGATTCGAACTCGAGAATGAATAATGCTTGGCTCACATGTTCTCAGAAGACTATCGATAGGCAGCCTTTTCTCACTAGGCTTAAAAAGTGTCGCGGTTAGTAGACAATGGGGTCGGGCACTGATAATGAACGACTTCGTAGGCAACAACGGCATGTCACATGCAGTTGCCCGGATGACTAAAATGGCCATCGCTGCAGAGGTGACACTGCCACCTTGTAGTGTGGCTGTGGTTACTTTGCCATTGACGTGATGCTATTGCAGTACAATAAAAGCCACCGGGCTTAAAGATTAATTTCATGGAATGCCTTCACACGGTGGAGCAAAACATCATTTATGGAGCATGTCATTAATCTTAAAAAAAAAAAAAAAGAAAGAAAAAGCTGGGTATGTGTTTTCCACCCCAATAGAGTCCAGTCATTTCCAAAATCAGTTTAGCTACTGACACATTTAAAGGGACCACTAAAGTAAAATAACAATTTACGTCAGAGTGAAAGCTCTGTATGACAATATCTAAAACAACATTATCAACAGTGCCCTACTTTTTGCGAAATTAAGGTAAATGCACAAGAACAAATGCGCCGCAGTACGACATTTTCAAAAAGATCCCGATGACATCAGATGAACCGCCTAAAATTAATCACTAGTAATCGATCTAGCTGCACTGAATGAAGAACCTTCAGTGCGTCAAGAGACGCAATAAAATGCTACTTTATTGTTTCTGTTTGATTAAAGGAAAAAAGAAGCGCTGGACATTACTAACAGGGAATGGCACAAGTGGTTAAAAAATTCAATTCTAGCGTGATCAAACTGGACATGTGGTGCCACCTAGCGGGGCCTAGTTGAACCAAAATACGTCTGCAACCTTGGGGCCCATGGCAGGATGGCTGCTGTGGCTCTTGCTGCTTTCGGTCTGCTGCTACTAGCGCGTTAAGGCAGGGCAATGTTGCGCATGGCAACAGTGACGTGAGTCGGTCTACTTCAGTGAGGCGGGTAATTTGAAGTGCACTAATCCGATGCGGACAACTAAAACGTAATTTTATTTCAGAATAGGCCCTTCCTTGGCACAAAAGTAACACTACGCGGTTTCTGAACCGCTATTTCAACAATCAACTTAATAGTTGCCTTTAGTGTCCCTTTAAGCCAGTGCTTGGCTATTTTTAGGTTTATTTTTGTGCAGCATATTTTGACTTTTAGCAGAAGGTGTATTTTAAACTTTGCAGAGTTAGCCATTAATAAAGTCTATAGTGTGACATTTTATGGGCCCATGAACACGTACCAGCAGTGTTGTACTGCACTGAAAAACCATCAGCACACAGATTTGTGTGTTGCATTGCTCATTTGGTTCACAATAGTTCTGACAATCCGCCTTCATTTTCTTGTGCTTCCCCCCGCCGACAACCAGTCTCACCAGAACCTCCAAGACCAGTATCACCTCTAAGATCAACATAGTGTTTAGCATCGTGAAAAGGCAGATTTCCAAATCATGAATGCAGCGGGAGGTAAAAAGCACACCAGACCTTGGAAGGTGTCCTGTTCCATACGGTGATGTGGTGACCCGAATTGATGAGGTTCTTCACCATGCCTTGGCCCATGTTGCCCAATCCCAGAAAGCCAAACTTGAGGCTTGACGGGCTGACATGTTTTGACCGCAAGACATCCGATATCCTCTCCACATCCAGGGGTGGTGTCACCTGTTATCCATATGTAAAAAGTGACACATGACTGCTGTTGTAAAGTTTATCTCATAATAGAGGTTGCTTATACCTCATGGAGCACAGCACTGCAGAGAAAATAAAGCAAAAAAAAAAAGGGGGGGGGGGCACTTTTAAAGGGGGAGGTGGCATTGAAAAAAAACTTTTTTATTTGTTGACCTACAGCAATGAAATTTGGCATGCATACTCATAAGTGTCTCGAATAAGGAAATATGCAGTTTCATCATGATACCTTCAGTAGTTCTCAAGTTACATAATGCTACATGATCCAATTACATGGTCTGCTCGTGGAAAGCCTAGCGCTGCAACAAAACATGCCAGGAAGCTGCGAATGGTGTTGATCTTTACTCAAAAGAAAGCTACAGGGTATGGCACTCTCGGAATTTTTTAATAAGTTCTCTTTTTTTTTTTTTTAGAGATCATCATGGCTGCCGACACACAATGTCAGAAACAGTGGAACGGACAAATCATCATCTAGAAAAATAACAGGGCCATAAAACAGAAATTGAAATTCACTTCCATCCATCTTAAAAGTAATGAATCCACACTCGTTTGTAAAAGAATTAAAAAAGCTCTTTGTCAACCAATACAACACGTAGCACTTCATTCTCATAGCCCCTAAAGCATGCTCTCACACATGTATGTATGTGTGTATATATATGTGTGTATATATTTATGTGTGTATATATTTATATATATATTTTCTTTTTTTTCTTTTTACATCTCGTGTTTACATGGTTTCTTTATATTATGAAATGTGCTTGATCACCCATATCATTATGATCATTGGAATTTTTCCCTTCCTGTCGAAGCTATCTTTTATTTGTTTTTAGGTTCATCATGCACAGGAGGTCCCAATTGATTGATTGATTGATATGTGGGGTTTAATGTCCCAAAACCACCATATGATTATGAGAGACGCCGTAGTGGAGGGCTCCGGAAATTTCGACCACCTGGGGTTCTTTAACGTGCACCCAAATCTGAGCACACGGGCCTACAACATTTCCGCCTCCATCGGAAATGCAGCCGCCGCAGCCGGGATTCGAACCCGCGACCTGCGGGTCAGCAGCCGAGGAGGTCCCAATTCAGTCCCCGACTACGGGAACTCCTTCTGTATACTGTCTGTAATGACTTTACTTCATAGTAACAATAAAATTTGATTCAGAAGATTGCTGTACCCACAAGCAGTGTTCAGGGATTCAGGAAAAAAACAAACAGAATCAAAATCGGTCCAGTCATTCCTGTGCTACTCTTTCCACGAGCAATGCACAATGTCCAAAACACACTTGTGAGAAAAAGCCCGTCGAAGTTTTCGACAGGCTTTTTTCAATTACCTTTTTTGTTTCTCGTTGGATATTGATGAAAATCGGCACAGACACTAAGAATGACCTCACAGTGCTTCCATAAAAATTTTGAAGCGATACCACAAATACTTTACGAAAAACAAATTATTTCTTTATTGAACCTTGTGGAGGGGCTGAGCATAATGTCAAAAACAAAAAAAAAAAAGTATTGGGAAAGCTGCATTTAAAGTTTCAACTTTTCTTTACGTCTCTAAGACACCTAAAAATTGTGATCTCAGGTTTGTCTTGTGTTATTTGACTTCTTTTCATGATTTACAAAGAACAAGTATGGATTTCAAACCAAGTTCTTTGTATGAAGGAGTGGTGTGATAGGTATGACAGAAAAGATTGTAATTGAATAAAACCATATACTGAAATTATTACATACTTTTTTGTGCTGAAGTTGTAATTAGCGTAATTAAATACTTGATTACAAATATTCACTGAACTTTTCTTTATTTGGAGAGAGGTTTATTGAATCAGAAAAATGGATCACACCATAACGGCCTATGCCTTCTTTCTAAATTACAGTTATGGGCAGAAGACTGGTGGCACGGGAATGTCTAGCAGTATAATTAATGACACGAAACGGGCACATAAAAATTCGTGCCCCTGATTCATACATGCTCTTTCGCCGCTCTAGCCGTGAAACGCATCAACATACAGCCGGTCGCGGAAACTCTAATCTACAGCAATTCATTAACCTCGGAACATTCATAGACGTTCGTGGCGATATCAAGCACGGCTCCAAGTACGTCTGAATCGCATCACAAAAGCTTACTGACAGCACTCCATATGACCGTGGGGTGCGCGGCCGCGTGGACAGTGCAGCCGGCGCGTAATGCACTTGCCGGCGGCGTTCGATGACGATGCGCGAAATGTGTAACTACGAAGACAAAAAATCGCCACGCACTGCACTTGGCATCGCATTTTCGAATGACGACGCGCGAAACTGCTAGCCGCTGTTCCGAGCGATCCTTGGCAGTGAAGGGGGGGGGGGGGGGGGGGGGGTGACGAGCTTGACTGTGTTGTCCGCTGCCGATGCGTAAAATGCCCGTACGTGATTCAGAGGTGCTAGCGCGTGATGTGGTACATTCCTTGCGAAGAAGCACGTCGCCAAGAGTGCGCTTGCGCGTCGTTCCTGCCCGCAGTCTCGCTGTCAGCGGAGTTAGGCCTAAAGCCGACTCCGATGACGCGCCGCACTCGTAGACCGCCGCGCACCCGCTCATGGTAATCTGATCGTGCATCCGGTGCGGCCACTCGTAGTAATCAGATCGTGCCGCCGCTTACAGCTTCGTTGCTTGCGAAGAAGCACGTCGCCACGAATGCGCTAGCGCGTCGCTCCTGCCCGCAGTCTCGCTGTCGGCGAAGTTAGGGCTAAAAACGACTCCGATGACGCGCGGCGCTCGTAGTAACCTGATCGCGCATCCGCTTATTGCTCTTAACTAAAGCGTAGTTATATCTTAAGTGATTATCAAGCCATGAACACGTCAAGAAGTGGCGATTTTCGAGAGCCATGTCCTCGCGACGCACAAGCAGCAGACGACGATCTCCCGGAGCGAGCATCGGGCCAATGGCGAGGCGAGCTGAGGCAACATGGTGGCCACGGCCAATCAAGGGCCTCGAAACGACCTTCAAACATTTGCTTTTTGCTCGCTTGTTGTTAAAGGGAGGAGCCAGCTGAGGCGGGAAAGTTAAACACGGAGAAATGCTCTTTCCGATGAGCTCAAGAGGCCGGCTCCCGACCCAGGCATCGCGAAGCTATAATTTTTTGAAAATCGCCGTTTTCTCGTCATTTCCAGAAAAAGTTTTGCTACCTAGGTGGGTGAAACGAATTTTTCGAAGCACTTCTGCGCGGTTTTCAGTGTAGATATTTTGGAACCAGATAGAAAAAGGGTTCCAGAAACTAAAAACTTGAGTTTCAAAAAATCGATTTTTTTGCCATTTTTCGCGATCCCAAAGCCGCGTCCCCCCTTAAAGGGATCAACAACCAATTCTTATGGTGCCAACTTTTTTTTTTTTTTTAGCGGAACGAAAAGCTTCACCGGTCGGTGAGTCTAGCCACGGAATGGTGAAAGAAAAATCCACAAATTATTGAACTATTGTAATCAGAATTTTTCCATCTACAGCTCATATGACGTCGTATACTCAAATGCTGCAAACAATCATTGTGCGAGTGGTTCGTGTTCGAGCGTGGTGGTTTACTGTGCATGCGTGCACTCTGCATGCATGCGCCGCAACTCGACTTGGTTTAATGATGGCTGTGACGACAGCATGGCTGCAACGGCAGCGAAGCCAAGTGCTGCGACGCATAAAAAGGATCTATATGGGCTAACTAACGTGTCAGTTCGGGCTGATTTTTCGCTGACAGGCGCGCCATGATATGAAGAGAATGAAAATCACAAATTTGAAAAATTGAATTTTACCAAAACCCGTGCCCCCCTTAAAAGCGCTATTGCTACTTTCGAAAGAGATGGTGCACGAGTCTTTCCGCAAATGCTGCATTAGCAATGCATTGGTTGGAATGGAGGATGATGCACCCTCCGTCGTAACAAGAGAGAAACAGACATCGACTTAAGTTCGGAGGAGTTTGAGTGACAGCACTCTGTGGCCTTCTGGCGTTTAACTACATAAGATATGTGTCGGGGAAAAAAAAAAAAAAAAAAAAGAAACACTATGTCACCACAGTGCAGCTGGTCGTGTCTCATATTTATCAAGGTAGGAGTGCGCCGCGATATTTTGCGATGTTGACTCAAAAATGGGGGAGTCGACCTACATATCGGTTATTACAGTATTTTTCAAATTTTCATACCAAACCTGCATATAATTAAATCCTCTTTATCACAAATTTTTAAGATGATTTGTGAATTTTGTTATATCCAGGTTTAACTGCATTACTGCAATATTAATGTCGTATTGTGAAGCCTGCATACGGGAAGCACGTGTTTGTAAAGCACAAAAAGTTATTTTTACTGCATTTGCAAACAGAGGAACGTATTTTCATTGTATTTCCAAGCAGACACATGGCTGTGTGGTAGGGCGCCCGCTTGCCACGAAATAACCTGGTTTCGATTCTCACCTGGACCCGGAAACTATTACCTTAATTGCATCTTGCTCGATTTTTCAGTCCCGAACAAGATCATAACTTTTTGCTAACTAATGATGCCGATGCCAACATTTATGCGAAACAAGCTCTTTAACACCCTTGTGTTACAATATCCGCAAAATAAACATGTTTCTATAACAGGGTCTTAAGATTTACTGGGCCAGAAAAAGTGCTGTAATGTTTTCAAAAAGGCCTTTGAAGAGACTGCAGTGATATGATATTTGCCTTAATCATTAATGTGATGCACTTGCCAAACCAAAGACCAAAGGTTCCACTTACAGGCCTTGTGATGTAAGACTGCCGCAGGAGATTAGAGCTGGACTTCGATGATGAAGTAGTGTGAGAGACACTGTTGAAGCCAGCCGCATTGTTATTTGGTGTCGCAGCGGACACCGAGGAAGCCTTCTCGGTGGCAGCTGTCTTGTTTCTCTTCACAGGTGCTGAGCCTGTGCTGCTGCTCTCAGAAGAGGTCCGCTTGGAGGCCCGACGTGACTGGTCCTTCGGCTGTAAAAGCATGCTGCGTCATGCTACTGCTTATAAGAAAGTGCTCTTAACGTCTACCACTTTTTCACTAGAACTAACAAAAAAGTCTGTGCATTAGTAACAAAAGCTTCGAACAATTTAGCAGCCCTATTTAACGTTTGGTGGACAATGGGACAGACACAACCCACTTCTTGTTCTTTGTTTTCAGCTTTGTAGGTTTTGACGACACCTGAAATACCACACGGAAGTTACTAACAGAACCTTGAGCATACCGTAACATTATTTACGCAGTTACGTGACATTTCCTAACAAAAGCTATCAGCAGTTCTTTTGTGATGTTAAAGAGGGAATATGTTCGTTCTACTCAGCTTCAAACAAACAACTAAAAAAGACATTTGCACAAGCCTTTTTTCAATTCATAACATAAAATGATTAACCCAACCACTAACAACACTACATCACTAGAAGATTCATCTGGAAATAATATCCCTGATAACCTGTGTGCATCAGTTATTAATGATTCATTTTCAAGCCAGTGCTTAAATCCGGTAACATCGTACTCCCTTATGCGCACCAATATAATTACATGCCCACATACATCTGTTTGCTGATGACTGTGTTATTTACTGCAAAATTACCAATATTTATGACACTAAAACACTTCAAACTGACCTAAATAATATAGCTGATTGGTGCAATAACTGGATAATGAAACTTAATATTAAGAAATGTAAGAAAATGCACGTATCAAGAACTAACTCGAATCATAACACCTACCATCTAAACAACATTCTCTTAGATTCCGTCTTGTCTGGATAATATCTTGGCGTACACATCACAAATAACTTAGGTTGGACAACTCATGTAGAGTACGTAATTAACAATGCTAATCGTATGCTCGGCTACTTACGATGTAACTTCTCCAAAGCACACTCTTCCTTAAAGCTAATACTCTATAAGTCTCTCATACACCCTAAGCTCGAGTATGCATCTGCCATATGGGATCTCAGTCATGCTAATCTCATCACCTCTCTTGAACTAGTACAAAATAACTCTGCTAGGTTCATCCTCTAACTACAACTGCACTGCAAGTATGACTTCAATGAACAATAACTTATCACTTAGTCCATTGGCTCACCGACGAAAAAACGCCCGTCTTTCACTGTTTCATAAAATTTTCTATCACTCAACACTTTATAATGACCTGATACTCCGGCCTCTGTACATCTCAAACTGTGTCAATCATCGCAATAAGGCAGAAATCGCACCATGTCACACTAAGTCTTTGTTTCAGTCATTTATTCCCCGCACATCTCATGATTGGAACCACCTTCCCTCGTATGTCGCAACCATTACTGACTTCAAACTTTTCCATGACACATTAGCTAACATTGTATAACCAGGAAAATCTGTTACCTATACCTATTGCTTGTGTTTTTTTTTATATTTTGGAAATTATTTTTGTATATTCTGCAGAAATGTTATTATTTAAGTTTTTTTTTGTATTGTTTTATTTGCATTTAATTTATGGTAATGTTTTATTTGTATTTTTCATGTATTTACCCACTCCCCTCTTTAATACCTTTTTGGCCCTGAGGGGATTATAAATAAATGAATATATTGCAAGTATGTTGGATCATGACCAAATGCTCATCTTTCCTCAAAAATATAAGATTTGGGCTATTGAAGCTATCTTTCTCATGATAGTTGGACCAAATCGGTATTTGCTTTGGACTTCAAACTTACTAACCATCCATTCCTACTCATTCCTCTTTGACACAACAGTCAGCAAAATGAACAGGCAATGAAACCAAGAAAGGTATGAGGGACATTATCAGTGTGTCTACAAACTTGCTTTTTCAAAATTTCCCAACTTTTCGTGGTTTTCCATGATTTTAGGCAATTCCGTGACGGTTACGTCTGCTTGGAAAACTCCGTCCACGAGAAACGAACCAAAAAGTGCTAAAAAAAGAAGAGAAAATCCCATGGAATAAGTTAATAAACGTACCGCATGTGCTCAGAGTGTTCCAAGCGTGTGCGGTAAATATGAAAAAATATGTATATTTGGCCAATATGATACCTCGAGCCAGGGAGTCAGCAAGTTGGCTGTTTGGCAGACAACACAGGAGTTGATATTAACCGCAGCTACCGCAGATACAAACACAGGAGTTGATATTAACCGCAGCTAAATGCCCACAACAGTCCTACAATGCAGTCAAATCTGCTATAAAACGTATAAGTGGCACAATCTCGTGGCATCTGTGTAAAAGGAGGACGCCGGAGCCCGGCCGATTCCGCCGCTGGAGTATATTTTAGTTCACTATAATCGCTACAGCCCAGGCCACTCCAGATGTGGGTTGGATTGAATTAGATCGACCTCTATTCACAGACTTTACTATTTAGAATGTTGATTGAATTGGATCTGATATGACCTGGTTTGCTGTAGTTTTTACTAATTTGCATCACCATCTGAATTGTACACCTCTAATATACCCTTTTCAGCAAATAATTATAATAATAATAGCTGTATACTATACGCATGTATTCTGTGCAACATGCGTTGACAATGACTAACAACACCGCAAAAACGAAGCCGCACTGCAAACTTTTCTCCCATTTTTCTTCTTTCTACGACGAGCACATGCATGATGGTGTTTTATTTCTCTGGGCTTTGATGCTTAGAGTTCGATAAAGCCCTCTGATGTCTACAATGAAAGCTAGAGGTAGCATTTAAAGCGATGACGTTTGAATATGTACCAGCTAGAAGGAATCTGTCTGGTCGCAACAGCTCCCTCGTATCCACAGAATTATCACAGATGCGAGCAGAAAACCTTTATTTGTGTACTCTTCTGTCAGTGATGCCATCGAGGTCTTTTGATTTGGAGCAATTTTCGGAGCAGTGAAATTTTCACTTTGGAGCACCTTAGAGCCGCAAAATTTTCTATTTTGGAGCAATATGGAGCAGCTAACTTCACGTCCTCGAGGCGAACCAAGTCGCATTTACATTCAAGGGCATAAATAATTATTTTGGGGGGCTTTGTCGCCTGTGAAGAGCCAGAAATATTTCCATTCATTTCAAATGTCATGAAAGCAGTCATCTTAGAAGCATTCCCTATTTTAGTTGATGCAAAAAATACTGGCATCATTATGTTGGCCATTCTGAAAAGACTTGTTCAATGATTATTTTCGTAGCAAATAAATAGAATATTGGTTGAATGTGATTGTACTTCATGAAATAACATTGTATACATCTATGTGGTTATCAGTATATATGGTAGACAAACGCTGTGACGTACACCACTCTAGTGTTGTACGTCACAGCGTTTGCAAAACACAGTCGCAACTGCACTTAAAAAAGAACCTTACAGGGTACCTTAGGCATATGCCCAAGATGACTAAAAGGGAGAGCCATTTTATTTTTATTGCGATAGCAATTACAAGTACATTCTCGACCGGTTTTTGCCATTGCCAGGAGCGTAGGTAAATTAAAAAAAAATTTTTTTAGGAGTGGGGGAGAGTGCCTCTTGATATGAAGGGGGTCGTGCAAATGGTGACATTGAGCTATAGCCTCAAAAAGGGGAGGGGAATGGGCGCCAAGTAAGCACATTTTTACCTCTCTTTTTCTTCGTTTTGGCTCTTTGTCAGCCGTAACAGGTTCCTTTGGTGTTTTGGGAGTTTTTGACGGCGTCGCAGAGGGGGTTGCAGGCGCCTCCTCAACCTCATCTTCAGAGGCGGCCACTCTTGTTGATGGTGAGCCCTTCATTAGTGAAGAGAAGAGAAAACTGTGGTCACTATCTGAACTTTTGGCCACAAGATCCCACAAACCTCACTAAGCATCACTGTAACTGTTCATGAACAACTTTAGGATGTCCGTTTACCTAAAGGGCTTTGTAACCCTGTCACACGGCCACGATGAAACTATGTTTAAGTACTTTCTCTTTTCGTTGAGAGAGAAGCGGTTCATGTAACACGGCCTCCATTACGCCAAGAAAGTTGAATGGAATCATTGGAAAAGGGTCTTCAGTAACGACTATTAGGGCTCAATGGAGTATTCTTATTCCCCCATAGCTACTGCTATGAGGAAACAGCATTAACAAAATTGTCTTAGTAATCTCAATTAAAGATTTTAACATAATACTCTTGTTCGGTGTAAGATTACACACCGTCTAGTGAAAGTTTCAATTCTACACATCAGTGCCTGTACCCTCTACACCTAACGCTTCTCCAAGCTACCACCAGCAAGTATTGCACCGTATGATTTGTTTATACATGTGCGAGATGTGCGCACGTGCCCACTGTACTTTCTCACATACTTTCTGCTTCAGCTTCATTAAATTCATGCAAAAAAGTTTGGCAGATTCCATTCATGTTATATGGAGCCTGCAATTGGAAGCTGACTGTGTTGCAACATTTTATTGCACAAATGCACGCACAGACACTCCTCATTAAAAAAAAAATTTAGTGTAGAACCTTGCATGTGGTATCAAAGATAGATTGATAGATATTTGGGGTTCAACGTGCCAAAATGATATTAAAGATAAGTTTGCTTAGGTGACTCAAACATATGCTGCTGTAGGTCACCCTCCCTGTGTAAACTAGGCTTATTTACAAAAAAAAAAAAGGGGGGGGGGGGCGGTGGAGCTAGCGAGAACTAATTGTACACTCCAACACGCTTATGGACCCAAGAGCACTGGGAGGTGTGAAAATCAGCCACTCTATTACAGATCCTACAGTGGTGGCCCAATAGTCAGAGGCACCACCAACTTGCTCTATAGCAATAAACCTGCTATTGCTAAAATAGCTGCACAACATGAAGTGAGCTAACTTTACACATAATGCATCTCCATTGAGGTGGGAGCAAAGTATGCGCAATATTAAGCACTTCACTTAAGCTTTAAAATGTTTGATAACAACGCTCTTATTTGCAGTATTGTTTCTATGCATCCACAGTACCAACGGTAAAGTAAAAAGTGCAGTCAAACTCTGCTACAACGAAATTCACAAGGATCGTGAAAAATTCCGTAGCAGCGGAAACTTTTTATTGCGAAAGAAGTGATAAATAATGAGAAAAAAGATATGCACGACACTTAAGGAAGCAGCTCATTTCTAAAACTTAAAAAAATCACTCATTCGACTACTTGCACTTTCACATGAGCAATGGTAGAGTACGCTGATTACAATCTGCGAGAAGCTGCATTGCGACAACGCCGTGATGGGTGCCAAGGACACCATGCAGGATGTCCAAGAAGTTCACGACCTGCGACGCGGTCACTGGTGTCGGTACCGCCGGAACACTATGTGCGGCTTTGTCATCGTCTGATGAATTGGCAGTGGCGATAGCCAGCGAGCACTCTTGAGGATCTCGGCATCACTCAGCTCGTCAACACGATCACGTCCTTTGTCGGCATTTACGTAATCACTCAGGGCAATGCTCTCGGGTGCAATGCCGGCATACTCGAGAGCTGCCTATGCTGGGGCTCTTTCCACGTCTTGCCCCGTTCCAACTTAATCGGCAGCTTGTACGTCATCACTTCTCCTGGCCAAGTTAATCTTTTCGGGCAGAAAACCCAGCGAGTGCAAAATAGTTCTTAACAATCTCACGCCATGTCGACACCTATGCGGTGGCCAAAATTTGCACAGCCATGAACAAGTTGACTTGGGTGTCGCAACTATGCTGAGTGTTACACAGAATTCATTGAAGAAGCCTTGATCCGTATGTGCGCTTTAAGCTGTTAATGACATGTTGATCTAAAGGTTGAATGAATCAGCGATGCGCAGCGAGCAAACACTGCAGTTGGCTTTTTCATTTTATCGTCGAACGCAAAAAACCAGTCGGTGAAAATGGCCCTCGTCACCCATGAATGGCTGTTGGCAACGTACTTTACTGGAAGGTTTTTTGTGCCTATGAAGCACCGTGGCTTGGTGCTCTTGCCAATAATGAGAAGGGGCCGTTTGTCGGACCTGTCCATATTTGCACAGAGCAACACAGTGACTATCTTTTTGCTCTGCTTGCCGCCGTGGCACTGTTTGCCTATGAAGTCAAGCGTCTTCACCGGTATCATATCACAGAAGAGCCCGGTCTCATCCGCATTGTACACTTAAAACGCAATGTACTTCTAGACGATGCCAGCAGCGAGCGTTTGACACGATCCATGATGACGCAGTGTCACAGTCTGCAGAAGCGGATTCTCCACACAGCATCTCCGACGATCTCATGGCACTCTTTAAACCATACACTTGCCTTGAATCTTTCATTGATGCCTAAAATGCAGGTGTAGTTCAGTGCTTTCTGCTGAATTAGGCTACCACTGATTGGTATTTTCTTAGCCTTCGTTATGCACAACCAAGCGTACACTGCCTTGTCAAGCTCTTCATAGGCTGGCTGGGTCGTATTTTTCCGTTGGGAAGATGTGCCTGACGCTGGCTCATGTAAGATGGTCGCTTCGAACTCCAGTATCATAGACAGTTAGTTTGGCGAGATACCGTATTTCTTGGCGATAATACATCCATTTTTTAGGGGCGAAGCTCCTTAAGGCGTGGGCTGTGCATCCCCTGTATTTAGCCACCTCTCGTTTAGTTCTTGCAGTGTTCACTAGATGGCGGTTCACTAGATGGAGGAAGAGTGCGATCTATAAATATGGGCAGCTCGACTGTTGAACTGTTAAGCGTGCGCATCTTTCTTGTGCACTGCGAAGCATCGGTGTTAAATACAGATTGTCCACGTTAGTTCCTGCGCACTGTTTCAACGTTGTCTTCACTTTCATAACTGTTTTCTTATCACAACAAATAATATGGGTCTTATCGGTCGTCAGCTAAGCTCATGTGCATGCTTCGCCATCACGCCACGCATAGCTGGTGATTATCGGTGATTTCGCCCCATAGGTCATTCGCGTTGCATTTTCCACTCTGCCGTAGCATTCCTTTCGTGCTGCTTCCAAAGCTCCTTAAGAGCTTCTCACAAAAATGCCTAGAGGAAAGTGTGGCGCCACTGTCTATGCGAATTTCTTAATGGGCCCCGTTGTAGCGCTAGGAATGACGGTATATGTGTCTGCGAGGCTTCCGTTTTCTGTTGTTGAGCGAAGCTTCGGCCCAAAAGCGAATACGACTGCATAAATAAAGCTTCTCTAAAACGAGACATTTCTAAGCGGATCTCATTCACGTGTATTATATTCCAAAACAAAAGCCCACTTACCTTGACGGCACAACCAAACGGAAATAAAAAAACAGACGACATAAGAGTGGGGGAGAGAAAACTCACTTTGTCGTCTGCCTGCTAAGTTTAGAAGCCGTTGGTTACTTCTAATGCTTCGTAAAATTATACATTGATGCAGAAGGTTCTTGTGGTAAATAAAACACGTTTCTGTGCAACGATAAAAATAAGTAGTTTATTATGTGCCCTTTTTAAGTATTTACTCGCATGATCCTCACACTTTTTTTGGGCGGAAAACCGATGCAAAACTGGAGGGTGCGAGAATTACATGAGAAAAACTTTCCCTGAAGACGTACAGGGCAAAAAATAAAACGAAGTGGCCGCAAATCGGGATTCTCATGCCAGCAACTAACTGCAAGCTTTGCGAAGTACAAGTTAAGACTTACCTCACCAATGAAAGCACAGGGTCAACACAAGGCAGGATTTATTTGTGACACAAAAAGTGCAAGCAAATAGTCGAAAATGAGAATACCGTACGCAAAGCTTGTGGACGTTGCAGTAGTGTTGGTCACTCAATAGAAGCTCGCAGAAGGTTAGTATTGACATTAGTATTGGGCCGATTTAACACGGAATCGTCCGCAGTTGCCTTTTGACGAAATAAAGTTTACCATCCACCCCAGTCTTAAGCACACGGAAGGCCCACCGCGTCTTGTTCCCTTTCAGCTGCCGTCACCAGTGGCGAACACAAAACTTGCAGACTCCAAAGGGCTGCTGTTAAGTGCATGATCATCATTTTCAACTTGAAAGCAGCCATATAGCTTCCGTACGGCCCCATAACGTAACAACATTACAGACACAATGTACAAAACACGCTGCAATGCGCACTTGCCACTATGGCTTCGCTTGGATTGGACTAAATCTCCGTGCAATAATAGTATGCTTTATGCTTAGGAGATGGCATGTGCTATCACCAACAGTGGCTGGAACGAGCAGACAAGATTATTGCGGCAATTTTCAGGCGTGCTATTATTACGCGCAGAAAAAAAGAAATCTTATATTTGTTGGGCGATGTGGGGGGTGCGAGAATTATGCAAGTGCGAGGATTATGCGAGTAAATATGGTAGTAAGAAATCAATCATTTCAACGTGAAGCCAGACACCTCTTCGAGTGATGCAAATCTGAGTCAAGTTCGAAGCTCCAGCAGCTCACTAGAGTCAGATTTTCCTCTAGGTAAGTTCGTGAGAAACCCTATGCGGAGCTCATCTCGAATGTTCAACCACTAAGAGGCTAGAAAGCATCCCTGTAATAAGCGTGCAGGTAAAGCTGCCTAACAAAAACGAAGGCTACGGGGCCAGGCCTGACGCGAAAAACAAGTACCAGGCGATGATGATGGAGATAGGGCTATCGCACATTTGAATAGGGCGGGCAGATAAATAAATGTGCGGGTGTTCTGATGATGATGATGGTGGCAGGTAGGGAACTGGGCATTACTTTCACAAGCCGCGAGTATCTTTTTAAAATCACAATTCTTTATTTTGAAGTGTTGTGTAGATAACGGGGCATGAAATTCAATATGTTATTCTGAAACATTCAGTATTGTGAAATTCTCCCGATGGAGCCGGAAATGTTGTAGGCCTGTGTGCTCAGATTTGGGTGCACGTTAAAGAACCCCAGGTGGTCGAAATTTCCGGAGCCCTCCACTACGGCGGCTCTCATAACCATATGGTGGTTTTGGGACGTTAAACCCCACATATCAATCAATCAATCAAGTATTGTGAGATTCATAGTAGTGGAATATTTTTACATTAATAAACCAATATACTTTTGCAGGCGTATTTGTGAAAAAGTCGTTAACCTGAGAAAATCGGTAATCTGAGGTTTGCTATATAACGAGATTTGACTGTATTAGAACCCTAAACTGTATGTGCCCCGCAGACAGCTGAAAAAACACGCGAGTGCCATAGTTGAACCATTCTGCACCTTTGTACAGCCTTTAAAACACGTCACCCTGTATTACTTTGTACAGCCTTTAAAACACGTCACCCTGTATTACTTTATTACAGCAAGAATGAGGTATAAATAAAATATAGCAAGATGCTTTTTTCTTTGCGTACAATCTTCAAAAATCATGCCGGCTCTATTGAATACTATAATTTCAAGATGACTAAAGAGACAGCAGAAATGCATGCAATTTTGAAATTCATCTCCACCCAAACAATTCCAAACTTGCAAGCTATGATTAGACCGGCGATTCACCTTGGTTGGTGTGTTCGCTATGGGGCTCACAGAACCGTTAGGGAATATTGTGGAAATCTCCTCATCAATGCTGGGCAGATCAGAGCTTCTGACCGGTTGCTGCAACAGTGCAAAACAACACAACCAATGTAAGCCCCTTGAAGGAAGCTTTTGCTAGAAAAAGCTATAAGCTATGGTTATCATTTAAATTATTTCAAGGAACCCAAGCCCTGAAGAGCTGCTAGAAAACAACTTATAAAAAGATGAGTTATGAAAACTGCACACACATGTAAGTACTTCCCAGGGAGGAAAAAGAAAAGGGGAGGGGGTGTGCACTTGCATATCTAATGTTAATGCGTTTGGGCTATATCTATATTTCTCCTAAGCAAACAACTAGTTAGTGATAACACATCGTAGTACAGTAATAACACATCGTAGTACTAATATTTCTCATATATGGACCATTCTAGAAAATGTGCCCTAATTATGTCACGTGAATCACTGTCCTGGTGTCACGGATGGCGCTAAAAGTACGAGAAACGCCAAGAGAGAATAACATGCTCGACTGTATCTTCAGAAGCTGTTTTAGGGCGGGCCCTAGATAGACAACAAATCCAAACACCGAAACAAAAGAGCAGTCACGACATTGCAAATGCCGCTCCCGGGAATCTTAAAGCTGCAGAAAAGCAGGTGAAGTGATGTATTTTATTATGCTCAGATTCTGCGCTCGGGTAAAAATAAAACAAACGGCGGCAGACCGCGAATTATTGTGCGGCGGCGTGGTCTCTCTGGAAACTTCGGCGGCGGTTGCGGCCCACAGCTCTACTTGTGAGGCTTTGTATAGAGGCTTTGCTTCAGGTACTAATTGTAATATCAGTATCTACCAATTCCATTTTTGTCAAATTCTCTGAATTTTGCCAATTTTCCACAATAATTGGAAGCCGATTCCATGACCCATAATGTCTGCTTGGAAAAATTAAAAATTGGAACAAGCCCTTGAGTGGTAAAAGTAACAAAAAAAATCTCAGCTCCGTATGATGGTCATACACCAAACAATTTCTACTTTTATGACACATTTTCTGATCAGAAAACTATTTAAAGATTCCTTTCAATTAAGTTTAATGGCCGTTGGCTTAGTAGCCACACTTTCGACACTTGTGCTTGACACAGCCGTTGCACATCCATTTGTCGCAGTCACAGAAAACATGTTGGGTCCAGCACTAAAAAAACGTGCAGAAATTTGTCAGGGAAACACTGTGCCAAGCTCACAGCAGCGAGGCAGTTCTTGCTCACAGCGAGACTGGAGACAGCAGCGATGTCCATATTCATGAGCAAGAAAGTCTTTTAGGATGCTGCGCATTGAGCCTTGTGTCGTTCAGCACTGCTTTAATCCTTAACATGTGCTCGGATATCATATTTCTGCGTTCACCTGATCAGAGGTAAATAATGCCCTTTTCACAGAAGGCGATGCATCTAATTCGCAAGAAAAATGGCGATGTGGCTGTAGTCAAGGCAGCTTTGGATGTGAGTTGGATTGAAAGTGAATCTGATTCAAGCCAGATTATTATATATACAATCGATTTTTATCCCCCTGCCCTAATTAAGCACCCCTAAAATATACTTTTCAGAAAGAACACTAACTTCACGCGCATATTTTGTGAAGCTTGCTCATACAACGACCAGCGTGATCGACACACACGTTTGCATTTTATTTTTCTGGGCTCCGACACTTGGGACGGAACGCAAGTCCTACAGTGCTTACAATAAAAGCTGGGGGTTGCGTTTAAAGCGCTGACAAATATGTGGCAGCATAAAGGAATCTGTCGGGCCACAACAGTTGGAGGGGTACCACCAAGGCCGTACGGGAAGGCAACAGCTTCCTGGATTCCGTAGATGATTCACTGACGCTGTGTTCTCTTCATTTACGTACTTTTCTATGGATGCTATGCAAAACAGTAATTGCAGATTTAATTACACAATTCCAAAAAGCTTAAATGAGACTTCTGGCTGTATTTGCTCTGTGCTACCAGCAAGAGGCGTGGAGCTAAGGCTGTTTACCTTTGCATCGCCATTGAATAAGCTTGACATAGCCCAGCAAGCCTCTACTGATGGCTCTTCTACCCTAACCAGAGGGCCTTCAAGCAAAGCTTAGACCATGGCAAAGACAAACATGCAAACTCATCAACATAAATAATGCTGCGCTTGGAAAGCGAGATATGCTGAGTGCTCTGCAGAAGTGGCAATTACACACTGGGTAAATCTTTTTACAACCTCTGCTTAACTGTTCACAGTGATTGCACCCAAAGGAGCAACTTTTTAATTAAGCTTTGATTAACAGTAATGATTGTTTTTGTGGCAATCGTACAGACTTCCGTCAGTTTCCATGACCTTGTCAGGTTTTTCAGAAATTCCATGACTATTCCCTGTCTTTTTTTGCCATGCCTAAATTCCCAGACTTCTCTAGGTTGGTAGACACGCTGAGTATGTGTGAAATATGAATAAATGCATTGGACAGCTCTTCAAACATAAAAAGAAGTGCCTCAAAGAAAGGACACATGCATTATGATTTTGCTAAGTATGCCCAAGGGTCGGTAAAATGAAAACTCAAAATCCTTTAAGAGAATTCATTTATTGTACAAATGCGGCACAAGCTGTATTGCTGCTGTATTAATCTCTCCAATGCTTACTCAGATCTTGTGATCTTCAGTTGTCTGAAGTAAATTTTTAGGGTCTAACATTTTAGGTTAATTAAATTTTTTTTGTTCCCTTTCAAATACAACGAATTCCAGTGGCTTTTACTAAACTTGAAGTGCTGAGCAACTGACCATTCGAGGGCCCTATGGTGTGGTGGACCTACCCACTATGAAATGTTGTCATGCGACTGTGAGAGCCAGTGACACAACTGGCCAGCTTCTGCTGTTTTACCTGCTGTGTTGAGCACTGTGAGTGCCTGTTCTCTCGATTGTAAATTTAGGTTGCTTATCAAGTGTGAAAATGAAAAACAGTCAGAAAAGCTTGATTCACTTTGCAAATTGCACCGTTGGCTGCTAATCTGACCTTGTCCAACTGAGGCGATGTTTTCCGTGAGGCTTTGGACAGTCGCAGCATTAAGCGTGCTGAAACATTTTCGATGCGATCATTTGTAGAGTATTAGGCTGAGAAGCAACGAAAGAAGCAGTGAAATCCCCACATTGGCACTCTGTAACAGTGTGTATGTGTAACATGTACGTGGCGTGATGTACGCTTTACCGATTCGTACTTTGATAGGGCAATGCTGCATTCTAAAGGCATACGAATAACATGTGCACACATTGTAGTGCCGAAGCAGTTATCTGTCTACTACAAAATATGATACCAACAGGAGAACTTCAATTTATCTTCCAAATGTTTGTGGATGCACGGCAACTGAAGTGGTTAATGGGTGCAGCTGCAGCCCTGAAGAAATGTATACGAAAAGAGTTTGGCTAACCACAGCTCAGCTTCTACGCCGCCCGCCATATTTATGCTATCTGTACAACGACTGCCCAGCATATCTTGCATACCCCCTGTTCGAGTGTCAACTGTAGTGGCACTAAACAAAATGTGAAGGCAAGATAGTACAGGATCGTATGTGCGATAACACTCAAATACAGTAGAATCTCGATGATACGAATTCGAAGGGAGCTTGCAAAATGTTTGTATCATCCCAAATTCGTATGAAGCAAAAATAAGTTAAAGCTGATCATGAAGGTGAACAAGAACTTTATTGGGGTCTACTTTTTGCTGAAAAAAGAACATGATGTGTTTTTGAACTTTCGTGCCTTCACCACCTCTCAATAAAGTGCTGCAGTTCCCTCACACCTGCTGCTGATTCTTGAAAAGCACGTTCACAATTGGCATCAAAGAGAGGGAAAGCGCACTGCGAAGTCGACACAAAAAAAAATCAGTCACGTGGGAGCATTCAAGCGAAAACACTGGAGCGGCCGCAAAACCATGCCGGCGCCCATAGAAAATGTTCACACTTGTTTTGCATACCGCCACTTAAAAACTCATTCCATTTTGCCCGATCCCTGAGCATTAAAATTCATACAGAGTTCTAGTTATGCAAGCAAAACACTGAAAGGAAACAGTTTATATCTATACAAACGTTGTTTCGGGAGATACGCCAGCAGACACGGCACGAGCAGACACACCGGCAGCGGTAATGACGAATTCAGCAGGCAGTGCAAAATTGAGACACGTTAGGTCATGCCGGCTCGCTGCTGCTGCTGTACCTCTTTCTACTTCTGGTGTTCGCAGCGATCGTAATCTGAATCAGGCCCTCGACGAAGGCACCCTTGTCAAGGCCGTGAGGCTTGTAAGGTGTGTGTAGTTCGTGATTGCGCCGACGCGAGCCAGTGCAGTTGCTTTACCGCCATGTTGAATTTACGGCTTGTTGTTTACATTGTGTGGTTTGAGAGCTAGTGCAGCCGGTGTAGCCAAAGCCGTGAAGCAAAAAGACGTGCTGCTATCGCGTGGTGGAAAAATTGATCTCGGGCAGATTTTTTCGCGTGAGCTTCGCGGCGCGGCTTTCCGGCCAATCTGGTGGCAAAGCGAGGAAAATACCCGCGAGTTTTGCCGCGTTCACTCCCTTTGGGGCACAATGCGAACAGTTTTTTCTCCCGCAGACAAGTCGCGCTGCGCCGTTTGCGTGAAGCGGTCAATCGTGCCTTTGCATCATCAGCGGTGGCTGGAGAAACTCTTTGTGTAGCACTAAATCACGGCATATCTTATCCAATGTAGTCCATCCAAAGCAATCTTAAAATTTGTGTCATTGTGAAATTTGCATCAACCGTGACGGTGTCATCGAGACTCTACTGTAATAGAAATACTGATCCTAAGACGTCTTAATTGGAAAGTGCGGCATTCTCTATTTAACGTGATTAAAGCACTTGTTTCATAGAACTTGCGGTGTCGGCAGCTGTGGCAGTGTCTTAAGTTGTGACCGAAAAAGCAGCGTTGGCAGAGCATGAAAATTTGTGGTAGACGCAATAAAGACAGGAGTCTGAGGGTGTTGCACGTTAACCTTTCTTGTGGTAAAATACAGGCCTCCACCGAGAAGCGAAGGTAAGCTGGCGCCTGGAAGGAGATGGTGTGCGTGA